GGCGGACGGCCCTGTGTATTGTGCCTCCTCTTGCCCTGGATTTCGGCAAAGCACTACCAATCATGACACTCCTTTTCTCTCACGTCTGTAAATAACCTGAGGCTATGGGAGAGCAATAGGCCTGAGATTGTTCAAATAGATCTGAAAAATATCTACACTGAGCAGTCAGGTAGCTGCTGTGAAGACGGGGGGAGAGTTTGTTCTTTTCATGTTGATCCTTTCTTCATATGTACAATTTCTCCCTTAAAAATACCTTTTGAAACGCACACGTTGAAAATTTCTCCACAATTTTGTCAATTAAACTCTAATTAAGCACTCGTTTAGAAACTAAGCAAAGGAGGACATATACCTAGCGGTATCCAACAGATAGAGCAGCAGGGTCTGAACTAATTTATTTCAAGTGTTAAAAAACTCAAATATTTAACTATTCAAAGCAGCCAGTGAAATAATAATTAGCCCCTGTGCAGCTAAAATGTCTTTCAAGTATTTACAGTAACTGGCATGAGTCTTTTAGGTCTTTATGAAGAAAATCTGACCCACCCTTTTCGTGAAGAATTGTTATATTTCAGGTTTATTAGAGGGTTTATGAGTGTGGACAGCTGTTTAGTCTCCTACCACAGCATTACAATCAGATTTAAATCAAGACTATGACTAAGTAAATCTGACTTTATTTTGTTTTTTAACCGTCCAAAGTTGAACTCGTTGGTGTTCTTTCAAACACTGTCCTACTGCATAATCTGGGTGTGCTTGACCTGAAGGACAGACATTCACTTTCAGGAATTTTGTGACAGCAAAACAAACAAATTGTCCAAGTCCTGACGGTGCAAGCATTTTTACCACCAACATATTTGACTGAAGGAATGATGCTCTTTTTGGTCAGCAGTATTTTCATTCTTGGAAACGTCCATGAATGCCATTTCTTCCCAGTGTCTTGCTAATTCATGGATGCTATTTATGCAGGACTGGAAGTTCACGACAAAACATTTCTCTTGCTGCATTTTCTTTTCTTTCATAAAAAAAAAATCTGATGTGGATTAATGGAATATTGACACCTACTTAATTTCTGAAAAGAGTTACTGCTCCACATTGAGATTCTTCTTCATGAATGTCTGTTTTTCTCTATCTTTCTGGAAAGTGGATGATCAACTAGATTTAAGGCTTTCATATTTGGAATTTCTAACAGCTGCAAAACCATAAATTGCAACTTATATCTGATAATGTCCAATTCTGGCACTTGTTATATTACACACTTGGCATGTGGCACATTGAAGGCAATAGTTCAGACCACAATGCAGTGCTTTGTGTATTGAGTGTCAGTCGCCACAGTGTTCTAAACCTCTTGAGAGAAGACTGAGGGTTCCAGACCAAAGCCCTTAACAATCTGTCCCAGTCCTGCCGGAAACAAAGACGGCACCTCGCCATGGTAACAATTTCTCGCAGTTTGCCTCCTCATCTGGTTTATATTTTTATTGTAACCATGTCATTTATAAGTCTGCAGCTTTCCAGTAGTTTAGAGCAATTTAAATGTTAAGTACATTCAGGCATGCGGTAAACCCGCCGGTCCTTTCATGGAGGCTTTCGCTCTTTTTCTACCCAGAGCTGTCTGTTTGCTAAGGCTAATACAGGCAGTGACAGAATCAACAGTAGCGGCCACAAGAGGCTGGCATCTGTACTAACACAAAAACAGAAAACTATTCTGGTTCCATTTGTTTAGTCAGGGCATCACCTCATTTCTTTCAAGGGGAACACAGGCTCCTTTTTGAGGAAATATTGACAATTTAATAAGATAAAACAAATTTGTGAATTCCTCTAAATAAAATGACAAACATATGAATCAAAATGTGATATCTGTCAATCTCACTGCTGTGATAATTTCTCAATCCTCAATTAGTGCATGACAGATGCACTAAATATAAGATGGACCTCAGCCTTTGGCCTTTTTTAAACCCTATGAGTAACTAACAGCGGGATAATGCACACTGCTGCACTAACACTTTCGCACATTAGCAAAACCCCAAGTAGAATCTATGGTGATTCCAGCATAACTTCAGCAATACCACAGACTGTAAATAGTTTTCTGTAGTACATTCTTCCCCTCATTCTTTCTTGCGAACACCTTTTGGTGAGGAGCATCATAGCGTTTAACCACTTGAGTCAGTAGCATTTCTGAACGACTGTAGAGAGCAAGAAATTCATCTTGTTAAAAGGAGGCTGGGAAAATACTGCCAAATCAACCCACAAAGATGCAGCCTCGATGCTTTCGACGGAAGCAAAAGGCTCGACTCAGGACAGTCCCACATCTGCGCAGACACACTTTTACATTATTTTTTATTCTTTTGGCAAAGGCGAACAATTGCACAAAGCATTAATGTAAGCAATCTTCACAATAGCAATTGCTGGCTGCAGCCAGTGCCTGTGAGCGGAGCATAATCTAATTTGGATGGGCAAACCCTTGTATGCCAAGGATTTACACTGCAGCCAAAATGCCTTGGTTTGCAATTTCCAAGACAGCAGTCGAAAAGGAGCATAAAATTGCTTCCAGGGCTGCAAAGCAGACAAGATTATATTCAAAGTCTTTGTGAGGGCTTTGCCTGAATAGAGTGCTGGCATCACATGCATACAAACACTTACATGTGGTTATATGCACACGCATATACAAACACATGCACACATACAGGGGGAACAGTGCAGCAATTACAACCAATAGGTTAGGAGTGTGGTTTCTGTGAAGCACAGGTGTAATCTCCACTTGAATATTTACAGGCTGAGCTTTGGGATACAAAAAAATGGACAATTGTAGTCATCAATACTGAAGAGAGGTGGCGTTGTGGGGCAGAAAGGTCAGCTCGATAGGTTAATACACTGACCTTTCCCCTTTTGATTCCAGTTAGGGACTTGTCAGCAGAAGAATACATTTTATCTCAGACTAGCTAATGGACGCCACATATTCAGTGTTTTATCAGAGAAACTGATGTGTCACAGTTAAAAATGTTTTATCAGAAAAGTAAGAGTTTAATGTTACTGTTACTTTTTCCAATTCTGCCATGTTAAACACTTGGTCAGTAATATTGTATATGTAGACCACAATAAAGGATGGTGTCTAGGAGATTAAATCTTAAATGAATTTTTTTTTGTTGTTGTTGCTCAGTCACAAATGACTAGAATTTTACTTTATATATTTTTTACAGTTTCATAACAACGGCACAATTCAAGCTACTTGTATTCTCCAGAATTATAAGACTGAATTCTTAAGTGAGGGTTGCTGAGCAATCTGTGTTTTTACTAAACATTCCTAAAGGCTCTGAAGGTCGCAATAAAAATTTGGCCACACAGATATTCAGTATTTGTCCAGCATACAAGGAAACAATTCAGTTCATTACAAATGGCCTTGCATTGCCTGTGTGTGACTGCAGATCTGCTGGTGCATTCTAGGTAAAAGCTTCCAGTGGGTGAGGAGGAGACTGTAAATAATGGAACAAAGTAATTGCCCTCTGCAGACAATAATACCTTTAGATAAATATTTCAAAAAGGTAAATTGCAGAAGGGTTGTAAAAGGTTTTATTGTACTGATGGGATATAGTAAATACAGACAACTAAAAAGACAACCAAGTAAACCCTCTTTTGTAATGCATGAATATTTTACATATCCTCAGGTTAAAGGCTTATATGCTGCTGAACAAAGTCCGATCTATCCCACGTTCTCCTAGGTCAGAGGCAAGAAAGGGAGGGAAGAACAGATGAAGGCTGGGGAGGAATGCATTGTACTGTTCAAATACACTTTGTATGAAAAGATGAATTGATCTATCTGTAAGCAGCACTTAGGCCCACTCCTCTGCCTGGTCGTTACAGCGGGATAAATCAATATTTAATATCCCCCTCTAACAGCCACACTGAATGATCTTAACCTCTCCTTAATCCCATTTATGTTACCTTCCAGAATCTTCTTCATGTAAGCTCTCACTATGATAAACTTCCAAACAAGAGACTGAAAGGGGAGCTATTAAAGACCACACCATATTTATGTCAGGTGAGGAGCTTCCTTAAAATATTAATATTCTGAAACTGACTAAAAGTGAAAGCTTTTATCTGAACCATCTGAGCCTTCTGTTGGTCTCTCTCCGCTCTTAAGAGCTGATTATTTGCAAAGGATGAAGGCAATTATAGCTGACTTAATAGGGCTTATCTTCACCAGACTGTCCTGGCAGAAACCGTATCATTAGAACTAATATATGACAATGCCTTGCTAAGATGTGGACAATGAAGAAAGTTTTTCATGAGTTTGGGTATGGAGTAACTGCTAACAGATAATGTGTTCGTGAAAAAACTTTTACATCTCTGGAGCAAAACTCAGCATAACTAGATATCCTGACATGGTAAAAACAATTTGCTAAAATTTGCATGATTGTTTATAACAACCATTTTTCGAGATTAAAGGGACTGTCCTGAAAAAACAAAAGCATCCAGTGACCAGTTGTATGAATGAAACTTTTTTTTGTTAATGTCCTCAGTGAGAGAAGAATTGACAGATTTGTTTGAGATGATGGAGATGAATTAGTGGTTAAAAACAACCTTTGTTACATCAACAAATTCAAAAGTAATTTTGTTCTTCTACTTTCTACCGCTTTGTCTTAAGTAGATCTCGGCAAAAAAAAAAAAAAATGTTTGAAACATCAAAATGACTTCAAATTTGCTAATTATCTGCAGATTTCTTTTGTGCTGTAAGTATTTAATCTTAATTTTCCGCAAACACATGCACACCAAAACCCACAGCAATTCTTCAAACAACTATTTTGACATTGTCTTTAGAACAGGTTCAGTCAAGAATTCAGATGAAACACCTGAGAAGTCTCTAAGAAGCATAAATATAAAGAAGTATAAAGAATATAAAGTATAAAGAAGTTCTTGTTTTTGCAAAGGCTGTTAAGCTCTACTTACTAAGGACAATGAACTTGTCAGCGTGTTGCTTGTGAGAAAAAAGACATTGTTTAGTTAATGCTGTCATGTCATGGCCGTTTTGACCACAGGCACACCTTTATTGTGAGAAAGAAATGCAGCTGTACCAACTCCTGCAGCTGAATCTGGAAAAAAGGGGACTTGCACAATAGCACAGAAGGCTTTCTGCTAAAGACATCCCTGTTTAAAAAAAAAAAAAAAAAGGAAGCCATTTTTTGCAAAAGTTTGCTTGGATAACAAAATTTAATCCTATTTGATAAAGCTGTTTCTTTCAGCCAAACTGAGTTAATGGATTTATTTCTTATTGTAAACGCCTTTTTGTGGTCAGGGAGTAAATACCAGAGAGAGGGTTCATCTCTGTCGTTTCAAATTATCTGCTGCACTTCAGTAAGAACATAGCTAATTGCCACCTGCAAAGGCAGTAATTTCTTCCAAACACGAAATTAGGAGGAAATCAAAATAGATATTCAAAGACTTTTTTACATATACATTGACCTAGTTGAGGGTGTTGGTTGAAAGTGTCAGGTACTGAAATATTAATGAGCATCGCTCCCAGTTTCTGCCTGCTCCTCACAGCCAACTGGCAACATGGCATCAAGCTGAAGAGAAGAGGACAGCTTTTTTCTTTCCTTGATTGACTCATCGATTGAAGATATTTTTAAAGGGAATCCCTGGGAGTGTGTGCTCCTGGTACAAAGCAGCCCCATCCCGTGTCAAGGGACAGAGAGGGCTGCAAGTCGGCTTTAATTGGGCAAAGACTTCAGAGTTTTCTTAACCCACACCGGGCACTGCCATGGCCTGTCACGGCCCTCACACCAACATCAACAACACAGAAGACTCTGAGCATGCACACAGTAACACATTCATGCTAATTTGAGTAAATACACATGTGCAACTAGTCTCTGCCAGCTCTTATCAATACGACCATCCTGGATGTTGATTAAAGGAAAGGATTAGACTTAAGAATTACTGCTGTCTAAAAATGTTCCAGTTTCTTCAGCAGTTTCTTTTTTTCACTTATTTTTGCCAGACAGCTCCTTATTTCTTGCTATATAATAAAAAAACTGTTTTGGATAAGGCCGAAACCAGGGACAAAATGGACTACATGATGTTGATTCTGACCTTATCAACCCTACAGTGGTTGAGGCCCACTGAGCTGAGGGCAGACAGCTTCGCATCTATGCCCTGCTGGTGATGTTGCAGCTGCTCCCTCTGGATCTGCTCCCTCATCTTCCGAGCCTCCTGGATCGCCTTCATCACTGTGTCCTGGTCCCCAAACAATGCGGTGGAGTTTAGAGTGGACAGAATGTCTATGCCAAGACACAGGACAATTAGTTCACTGCAACATAAAAACTGCAGTTTCAACAGTTAAATGTGAGCAACTATGGAAGGATTTTGAAAGACAAACCCCGGCCGAGGCCTCCTCCAAGCGGGCTGGGGATCCCGCCTTTGCCAATGAGACTGTTAGGGCTGCTTTTACTGCCTGGGAACAGGTTTGATGTTGGGGATGTCGGAGATTTGACCATTTCTGTCGTCTTTGGCCGAGCAGACAGGTTGAGGGGCTGTGTTCCCTCCTCCTACGGCAGTAGAGATAGGAGCATGAAAGAAGACAGATGTGAATGGGCTCCTCCCTCCCCTTCTTGGAGGAGCTCTGGATTCCCAGACTGCATGCTTCTTCTCCTCTGTTTCTGGTTAATTACAGAATCTCTATCCTGACCAACAACTCCGTTCTGATGCCTCCTTCTTTTTGTGTTTCTTCCCTCATCCCTTTCCTCTCCTCTTTTTCTCCTCTGCGATCTTCCTCACAGTCGTCCGGCGCCTTTGTTCACACTAATTAAAGCAGATTCTGTCTCTCTATACGTCTTCATCTGTTCTGCCTCTCCTCCTCCCCGCTCTCTGTGTCTGCACTCTGGTTCGAAGAATAAATAATGACCAGATAACAGCGGTGCCAATGATCAAAGACAGCTGTTCCATTCATCAGATGTCGACTTACATTATCTACTTCATTAACTTGTTTTCTAATTTCATTCCTCATTTGTGCATACTTGGTTTTTATCGCACGCTTTGATATGCCCAGTTCTAAAAAATATAAAGTGCAATCTGGCTTTTAGCTGAAGTTAAAGGAGGATGTATTTGTTTTGTACTGCTTGACTGGTTGTAGCTTTTTAGACCTGTTACAAATGCAATATGAAGAGCAGGACTTTCCATGTAGAAAATTTGAACCAACTGAAAGTTATTTAACAAGGGGAGCCAGCCTTTATAACTTATTTAACTTATTTATAAAGTACTTTATATGTTGGTTACTAGTTTGACTTATTTAATCATGAAACAGGATATTAGGCACATTGACATCAAGCAAGAATAAGCCTTAAATGTTTAGAATCCTCAACATTTAAAGCTGCAGTATATATATATATATATATATATATATATATATATATATATATATATATATATATATATATATATATATATATATATATATATATATATTACATATTTACTGTCAGTAAATACATGGTATGAGTCAGCTGGTGTGTGAAAAAAAAAATCTAGCTCTTCTGCCTTTTTCCAGTGCTCCCAGTGATATCTGGTAACAACCGATCAGAACCAGGAGGAGAGTCTTAGTGCTGTCAATCACCCCTCCGTGTCTCGCTGCTCATCTCAGCCCTCATTAATTTGATTAATGCAGGTTAGTTCTGCAAGTTGACTGCTGTTGAGGAAATTTTGATTATCAATCCTTTACTGGATGTATCCAAGGAGTATAAATACAAGACAACATAGAGGTCTGTTTCTTGTAGCCACCCTTTAATGAAGGAAAGACAAGACTACTTGCCCAAACCTGTCCATATGCACAACCAGAATAATAATTAATAGAGTTGAATCAACTGGAATTGGCACCAATAAGGGTAAATAAAGACAAGTTTATTTTACCACTAATTTTAACACTCAATTTTGAATTCTATAAATCAATTTGTGGATGATTTCAGTCTAGAATTGTGATGTGCCGATGGATTGCACAGTATAAATATTTCTTCATTCACAGCACAGTATCAATTCAAATGAAGACTTAAGTTGTCATGTTCTGTTTTTTTAAGAGCCCAAGCGTCTTCTTGGGAAAACATATGGTTGAAGCACAGTGTCCCGGGGCCATGTTATGACAGTGCCAGAAACAGTTTGTAAAGCAGTGAGGCTGAAAATGTACAAACAAAACTGAAGGCAATGTGATTCCACTGGAGTATGGAGAGAGAAGGAAGGATACCAAAACATGTTTAATAATTATTTTAATTCATTTTAACCCTAACTCTATACACCTCAAATCGAAATGTTAATGTGGTCGTGTTAAAATTGGATGTATAAACATCAATCTGGTCTGATGAAGTGAGAATTAAACAAATTATAGCTAAATAAAGTTAAATGGCAAACCAAAAAGGGTGAGGACCCGAATGGGTGTGTGTGTGCCCTGTCGTGCAAATGAAAGAAAAGCTCAAGTGGTTTCCCACCATGATTTATGGTGCTTCTCCATTGTGATATTATTAAGCTAAACTACTTCAAATGGGCATATGTCTCTGATTATGGTCTTAGTGAGCAGGAATGATGAGTGTGTCCTGTTCTTTGCATGAAGGCTGAGTCGAGTCATACCATGCAGAAGCAGGACACACATCCCGCATTTGGTTTATTTGCAGGGAGAAGAAAAATATAAAGGTTGCTGATCTCACTTGTTGCTGTGCTTTTGTCCACAGTTGTTATGCACTGGTGTAATGGGTTTATTCCATTTTAGCTTAAAAAAGGACCTGACTCTGTGGAATAACATGTGTTCCAAAAATTACTGACTTGGAGTTGCCACCACTATAGCAACCACATCCACAAAGTTCTGGTTAAAAGAGAGGGAGCCTTGTTAAAGCTCCTCAGATTGATGGCCCCACGGCGGCTCGGCTTGCAACCACTTGGTTTTAATGTTCAAGCACTGACTATTGTAGCAGCTAGTTTATTAAGACAACAACATCTGGGTCAGGCTATGTCAAGAATCACATGAGGTCTGGTCTGGTTGGTGAGTTGGTTAAAGAAACTGCGGGCTGTACCTTTACTTGAGTGATGGGGCTTGAAGAACTTTTGTCGTTCTTCAGAGACGAAGGAGAGATGGGCCCACTAGTGTTGATGGGTTGTGGTAGAGGAGGCATTTTGGCTCCAGGAGACACCTGCATGCTGGCAAGCTGGGCGGCGTACAGTTGCTGTAGGGAGGTGGAGAAACCAGCAAGGCGCTCACATCCAAATCCAGCATACATTCAAAGTTTTATATTCTCTCTTTTCCTCTCCCTCTCTGCCTCTGTGTCTGCCTTCATCCCTCCACCCCACTTCTCTTTCTTCTACGTCTTTCCTCCCTTTCCATGAGGCTGGCATTGAACCCTCTTCAAAGGTCTTAACTGTATTTCAAAGGCTGAACCCAGAGAGAGACAGCAGTCTTAAAAACCATACAGAGATGGCTTTCACTCAAAACACTTGGAGCCCCTATTTTCCACTCATCACAGAGTAAAGTTTGCTGCTTGGATGCAAGTGTGTTAGCACAGAGACCTATGCAGCTTACTATTGAAGTTTCTGGCTTGTGATTTGTCTCTGCCCAGCCATCAGGGACAACCCCCCTCATCCCACAAGCACCTTCAGCTGTTGCCATCACAGAATATATTAGACACATTGTAAGCATTTGGAACCTGCAGAAAGAGGACTAATATAATCAAAATTACATTACTAACATCGGTTGGGAATAATTTTTGACCCTGAAAACTCAGCTTACATGTACATCACAGGGATGATTACTCGACTCTGGAACCTGTAACTAGACCATGTAATGCCTTGCAGTTAAGTTGTGTTTGTGTTTATTATTAACCATTCAAAAATAGAAAACCCTTAATAAAACACGACAAGACTGGATGCATAATTTTCTTTGCACAAAGAATGGTATAATTTGACAGTGCTTAGACTTTCCATCACATGATGCGTGCAATGATTGAACTTGAGATGTATCTTGAGGCAACTGGCACAAGTCTGACACAAAGAGTTACTGTCTCAAAAAATCTGTTCCTTCAGATCTTTGCCATAGATCTCACTTTGAACAGGCGCAGTTCCTTAACCGGCTCACCTTGCTTGTCCTCCTCAGTCTAGGTAAAATGTTCAACTTGTCAGTGCCAGTTAATAAACTTTATCTCATTTTCTGTTTTGATCTGCTGCAGTTGTGCAAACTGTGTAAAAAGAGAGAAAAAAAATGTCCCCACTGTCCTCACCTTTGCTGGTTTGAATGAAGAGGAAAGCAATATAAAGCATGAAGTCAATGTAAATATCTCATGCTATAAACCCATATGTGCTCTTCTGAGAAACTTTATCACTCCCACCCATACACAAAAGGTCCATTCTTCGAGGGGACCTATGGATAACAACAGCACATGGCCAGCGGAAATGACAGCCTGATTATGTTCCCACAATGATAGTGCTGCCCCCACCTCTCTGACAAACAGCCTTTTGTCCAGGATGGGAGACACAGAAGTCAACCTAACCCCAATTTCTTCCCATCCAGACAAGACTTGGCGATAGAGGAATTTTGTGTGTCAAGGGGAGGCAAAAAGTGAAGAATCTTTTTTCTGGAAAAGGAAAGAAACTTAGGGTTTTCATTCAGTGACAGTCACTTCAGGCTACATGGAAATCTTAGCAGATGTCTGTTTGACAGATGTTTGCCAACGGGCCTTATGCTGGGCATAACCCGACCTTGAGTGGGAAGAACTTTATTGTCCCGGAAAGAGAGCTTAATTCGACTTTGCCTCAAATACCACACAGTCAGGAAACTGGCATTGATTAGTAGGTCAGTGTCACTGTGAGACAGGCATGGGCTCCCTTTGTGATTAGGAATGTTCTGAAATCCAACTAATAATAAATATTATCAAGAAAAAGAATGTTTTTTTTTCAGAGATAAAATGGTTTATTTCAGCCTTTCTCACACAGGGAAAGAAATCATATGAAGACCAAGCTTGAGTAACAACCAAAACCATTTGTGAAGTGTGACAAAGCATCTTTGAAGACTGAAGACATATGTCTGCATCCCTTTGCTGACTTTCTCTGATTTATTCTTACCCCGTTTGATATTTACTTCCAATTGGGGCAGAAAAAGTGTCATATTTATTCATGTTTGAACTGAGATCAATGTTTTGACTGTGCTCTATTACTTTTCTTTCAATACATTTCTCCTTTTTTATGTCTTGGTAATTTAGCACTTTAGAATTTGTAAACAAACATAAGACCTAGGGATTCAATTTTGACCCCATCATTGCCCATTTTCCTGCAGAACGTGGCAGATCTCAGGGGCCATAGATTTAAAGTGTGTGCGAACACACCCAAGGTCACGATGTTAGCCTCAGATAATTAAAAACAAGCCCTGTGGAGGCAGCAGAGGTTAAACGGAGAGGTTCAGTTATCTGCTTGCGATGTCAAACTCAGACTCTGTACTCTGCTGATGATGTTAGACATATTAGGTGCATAGCTTGTCATCAACAATTACCAATTTTTGAAATAACGGTTTAGATTAAAATGCAAATCTCCTATCACTTCTCTGAAGTGCACAAAAAAATGTAGTTGCATCTTTCATGTTGGCAACAAAGTCACACATTGCACATGCAAAACTGAAAAGCATATTTTATTTAAGGTAGATTAAGCACAATTTATTTGCAGCACATTCTTAACGTCTTTGTGTGACAGTCTGCGTGTAAGTGTCTCAATCACCTCTGTTTAGCCTGGGCACTGAGCACTAGACTGGATATGAGGGCATTAACTGTGCTTCAGTGCACCAAACCATTTAAAAGGCAGCGCAGCGCCAGCTCCGTTTGCCACAAGGCTTGTACAGGCTCATTGCCCAGGGCGACTACGCAGGCTGACCCAGGCTAGGCCCAGATGTCGGGAGTGGAGAAAGGCATCCTGGTGCACTGTGCCGATGCTTTCCAGTATGGCTCAACATCTGTTTCATCTGCTGGCGCCCAACCTGCTCCAATCTGACCCTCCTTCCTCCTCCTGGCCTTCCTCTGTCTCTCTATCCTACAACTATATATGTATAAACACTTTTCTGTAAGTTTCTCTTCGATATAGACACACACACATGCAAGCCGACACACTATATCGATTTATGAATGTGGTTACTTCAAGGCCTGTGGCCCCTGGAGCCAGCCCTCCCATTCACTGATGCTCACTGCATTATCAACTCTATCTGTCCATCTGTCCCTCTGTTCACCGCTGCCTCAATCCAGCTGCTCACCTTGCTGTCCTATTAGCCAACCTTCCACTCACTCTAGCTCTGCTGCTCTGCTCTGGGTTACCTTCAAAGACCCGACTTCTTTGCTCATAAACACAGAAACAGCTGCTCTCTACAGTATGCCTCTCTTTTCTTCCCTCCTCCTCTCTTCCTCTCTCTCAAAGTCAAAAGTGCTTCAGTTGTTAATGATAGAAGCATTTCTCCACATCTGTACCACACAGGCATTTACATCCAAACAAAAGATAATGTGCGGTTTGCTGCTCTCCCACTTTCTTCCTGTTTGTCCCTGACTGTGTAACACTCTTTCTTATCGCTGCAGTCGTCTAAGCCTGTGAGTACTCCTTCAGATGTGTCTGTCTGCTCGAGATGTGGTCCTGGTTTTGTTGTTAAGCGTATGGGCTGCTTTTCATCTTTACGGTGGCAGCACGGGGCTCAGCTTTATCATGGGCCTGTAAGACAGGTGCCACAGCAAATGTTCCTCTATGTCTTATCTCAAGCAGCTCGATTTTCAAGTACTGTAAAGCAGGAGGATATCACGAGCTTGGACAATTCAGAAAAGGAAATGGAGAATAATAAAAAAAAAAAAAAAAAAAAGGGAGCCGGTAATTGACAGAGAGAAATCCACAAACTAAAACACTTAGAGGTAGTTTCAGCTGCGGATTGGAAACTGGAAAACCAATACAGAAACTAAGAAAGCAAGAGAGAGAAAATTGGAGCCTGACTGAGTGATAGCAGAAGCTTTCTCTCTATTTATTTAGTCCAAGAGTGATACTACATACAGGGAACCCAGATGTTCTGCTTTATCCAATAATACTTTAACTTGTAAATGGCTGGGACTCAAATGTCTGATTTCTGTGATACAAAACAGAGCTGCGTTGAAGGTTGTCCCACTGTTCATTTGTTCTGTTAAAAAGATGGTTGATGTATTAAGTTTACATTCTCGCAGAGTAAATAGTTTTTCACTTGGTAACTGATGCAAGGGATAGTGTACAAACAGCAAATTAAATGCTGTACCAGACAGAAAATTCTTTTGTAGAGTTAGGAAAATCCCCTTCTTGTCTCCTTGCTGAATTGAATATAGTAGGCGTCCCGACAGATCGGTGGGGCACAATCCGAGCACAATTTCCTCTTTTAGGTGAGGCATGTCAGCTGTAATCAATGAAGGACAGGCGAGCATGGAGCTATTGTTTCCTGCTGGTCCCGGGCTCATCCTGGCTCTGTGTGGGCACTAATGAAGAGGGGCATGTCGCGCTGGGATAGTTTACCCGCCTTCTCTCCTGTGAGTTGCGAACCAGAGCCAATCTGTCAGGAAAGCATTGAGTGAAATTGCCCCGCGGTACAGCAGCGCCTGGTGACAGCCACTCGCCGACTGTCAGCCGCCGGAGTGATGCTACCACCTTGTATTGACAAGCAAATTACAGCCTCCCAACACTCAAACGCGCCATGGAAGATTCATTTACATCCATCAGCTCTAAGCCTTTGTTACCTCTACGTTATTTTACTCTTTTCTTTGAGAGAAGAAGGCAGGGAACCGGAGGAGGAACCCAGACTGTTATGACAGAGGAGATTGTGAAGAGCCTGCGCGGCAAACATTAAGACTGACGGAGCGGTCAGCCTTGTCTGGCCGGATGGCTGATCGCATTACCTCCATAACATTGTGGGAATTAATTCCACCAATAAGATAATGTTTAAAGGTTCATATATTGCACAATCTAAACTGAGTAAATTGGTGAAAATTATACCTTGCCTGACAGGTGACAGGAGGAGATATTTTAATTAGTGGGAGCTGTGATACAAAACAGCTGTATGTGAGTGGGATATTGTTTCTGCTAGTGTGTAAGAATATAGGGAAGATAAACAATGGCTTTGGAGTTGAAAATGAAGTAATCCTTTGCTCCAGTGGTTAATGTGAAAAAATGCCTAATGCATAAAATGGAATGCAAAGAATTAAAACAAGAATTAAATCAGCACATCTAAATCATAGTTATCAAAGTTATTTGGTTTCTATTTAAAAATCAGGAACATTTTTATGACTTCCTTTCCCATTTTAGGAAACTTTTAACAAGTTTGTTTCTAAAAAAAAAAAAAGAAAAAAGAAAGGAGATGGTGCTATTATATGTCTAGCAGAGAGAAAAACTCTCACTTAATTTCATGTCTGGGTTGATATGGTGTTTTTAATCATAGCAAGTCCCCTGGTGCTTTGTCGAGGAAGTGGTGGCAGTCACGTGGTTTGTTGATCTCAGCAATGTATTAAAGGGCATGTTTGACTTGCCTCACTGTTTTGAGGGGGAATCTCCGCAGAGTAAATAGCAGACAGCAGGATGGAATATGTGACGGGCTGACAGAGCTCAATTAATGAAAAATGCACCTCTTTTTTGTTTACTGTGTTCTGTAAAGGTCAGCCAAGTCATGGTCTTGGAGGCACTGTTTTTGCCCATTCCCAGGGTTAAACACATAATCAGAATTAATGACTCTCTAGACCCGTCTGCCCTTCTCTGCCCGACCTCAGATATATGTCTGTCTCATCTGACCTAACACGCCCCTATAAATAGACTTGTGTTTGTCTATCTAAACTGACACTCCCTTCCTGTGAACTTCAACATGCTACACCAACTCATTCACTGCAGAAACACTTTCTCCAAAGCAGGCTTAATCTTTCGCTTTTTACATGAGCAGACTCATTCAGAACCTTCCGTCCTGCCGACAGCTCTCCCTGTGGCTGCATAATGACGCATGGCTCTTGCATGCATTGTTAGAACTTGCCAAGGCTCGTTAGCATTGATAGCGGTAGCCTCAGAAGGACAAACACCATGTCTTTTCACCTTTTATTGTTAGACTCTCCTATTCAGTCTTTACATACTTCGCATTGCCATCGAGCATCACAGGTTACAGCAGTGAAAGCTCCATGTCAGCACTGCCTCAATGGCCACTTAACCACATCTTAGAAAAGATGCTCTTTAATTTCTCACTTCCTTCTTTTGTTTCCAGAGAAATTTACTGAAGTCAAATTTGAATAGAAATAAGATCTACAATTACTCAGATCTGCAAGAAAACCCAACAATTAGGGAACCCCCAAAAACCACTTAAATACATATTTTGTCAATCAGGTCCCCATATCTCCTCTTATATTTTTATGCAAATGCATGCTTAAAAAGTCTTAGGAAGACAATCATTATCACCAGTCTAGAAACTAAGATTAGGTTTGTTCTCTCAAAATAGACGAGGAAGTCTTTAAACCTCCCAAAGTAATTACATGCTATTGGGCAAAAAAAATATATAAATAAATCAACAAGTAAACAGAAAACAGTGGAATGTATTTAGCAGGGTATATTAAGATAACTATATATATTTAAATACCTGCTGACTCAGGGAAGTGTGATCATTAATAGACAACTTCACCTCAACATATGCAAAAAGATAAAAATAAAATAAAATGGTTACGGCAACCTACTATGATTAGAATAAGAATGCACAGCATGAAATGACAACAATAAAGTCATAACCTAACCATCCAGAGAAAAACCTGTCATGAAAAACTAAATGTTAAACCATAACAATAAATCAATGTAAAACCAAAAAACACCCCAAAAAATAATGACATGCAGACTGAAATACCCTATAGTTTATCTGCTTATTTTGTAATAATACTATGAATGACTGTAAAGGAATAATTCATATTATTATATATATTAAGAATTATGCCCTGGGGTTGAGCCCTGACCTGGGTTCAGCTCTTTTAAATGCTGCGTGAGAAGATTCCTGGGGCAGCCCCTAGGGCTGTGGGACAGATCTCAACAGTCTCAAACCTCTGCTCAGCCCCTCTGAGGATCATTTGTAACAGGTTATTTCTTTCTCACACTCATATTTAAATTGATTTTCATCTATACTTTATTCTCCTCACACAGCTAAATTGAATATTGCACTGACTTTGTAAGACAAAAGCAATGAGAAGGTTTTTTTTTTTTTTTTCTCAGAGGCAATTGTCCTTTGATAAATTTACTGGCAGAGGATTAAAGTTACCAAAGTGATTCTCATTCTCTCTAATAACTATTATCTTTCTAACTCCTCTATCTGGCAGAACAAGTGGGGATAAATCTTCTTTAAAATAGGTATAAATTACATATGTAAGGTGATAAGCGGGTGCGAGGCAGGGGGGTCTCCAGGATTATTTAGTGTGCAGCTCATTACTTGGCTCACAGCTGCTTAGCCATCCTTTCTGCCCTGAGCTTGGCGGGCGTCCCAAGCATTCTTTGTCATAGGACTGCACATACCTGGAGCTGGAGGGGGCTGAGTCCTGACGCTGCTGCAGCTGCCATTGTGGATGGAATGAACTGCACTGGGTAGTTATCACCTGTCAGAGAGGGAGAGAGAGACAACAATGCATGCAGGTTCAGACAATGAGCCGGTCCCACAGCTCCAGGCAAGTGCCAACATGGATTGTGGACACTTTGCTGCTCCCGCCACAGTAATGTGGTACATTGCAATGCGCCCTCGGCTTCAATCCAAAACATCTGCATTAACAAAAGCCTAAGGTTGGTTTGACTGGAGTGGGATTATTGAGGAACGTTCCTTACTCTTCCTGCACACTTTTCATCATGGAAAATACCTTGAAAATTCTGCATCAGTTTTTTTTTTTTTGGAGTATTTTTTGGAGGAGGGGTTGTTGATTGGTTTAAGTGAGCATCAGGAAAACATGTATATTGAACCAATTGGACCTGAGTGCATCAAGACCTTCATTTTTTTACTATGTACAGAATCTGAGCCTTGTGTTTTAACGCAGTGTCTTTTAGTGAGACCCATTCTTGCCATGGATTTTCTGTTAGATGTAGACCTGAACTTTGACTGGGTCATTCTAACATATGAATATGCTTTGATCTAAACCATTCATTTGAACAAAGTTTTTTTTTAATTTTTGTACCCCCAAGATTTCCCTGCATTAACATTCATCCAGCCCCCACATCAACTTTGACCAATTTCCATGTCCCTGCTGAGTAACTATATCTCTGTGCTGCCACCTCAGTGTTTCATCCCAGCGGATGAAATGTTCCAGAAATTGTGCCGTATTAGTTTTAGACCCAACATAGTTGTTTGCATGTCAACCAAAAAGTTACATTTTGGTCTCATTGGAGCAGAGGACCCTCATTCACATGTCATATGTTTGTGGGAAACTGCAAACATGACTTCAAATGACTTTATTTCAACAATGACAAAAAGAACTTGGCGTTATTCAAAGATGTTCAAAGCTTCAGGTATTGTTTTATAATCATATTCTGCTTTGAACTCCCCACAACTTTCTCCCTGCCCTGTCCTTTTTGTCTCTTGGTCTTCATAGTGCTGCCTGTTCACCAACAAATTACAGAGGGCTTCACTGAACAGCTGGAGACCTACGGAGATTAAATTACACATAGCTGGAGTTTTTCTAAACAGCTGATCTCTGCAGGCAATTGTTTGCAATGTATTTGGGGTATCAATGTAAAGGTGAGATATATATATATATATATATATATATATATATATATATATATATATATATATATATATATATATATATATATATATATATATATATATATATATAAATATATGCAGATTTATATTTATAGAAAGTATACATATAATTTTAATTCCACTTCTACATAAAATCCAAAAAACACATTAAAGTTCGAGGTTGTCATTTGTGGAAAAGTTCAAGGAGTCTGAACACTTCTGCAGGCACTGTAACATTTTATCCCTGGATTTCAGTTTGTCTGTTTGTAAAAACATAAGGCATGTTCTCTCAGGCAGTTCCCACAGCTGTACACTTACAGCTGGCTATTGTTCAACACATTGTTTGTTTCTGACTGATTTCTTTGGCAGCATAGCAAAAGCACGTGTATGCAAACTGGTTGGAACAAGTGTATGGTGTCCCAACAACAAGGATGAAGAAAAAAAAACCTCAAACACGCTCTTATCGCACTTATCACTATGATCAAGCAACAAGGAAAACTGTGCTTCCTTTTATTAACATTGGCCTGCCATGAAAACATTTTTCAGACAGCTATTTGCAAACAACTACAGTAGAAGTGAAATCGTTAACAATATTGAGACACACTCGATCTGGCGTGTTGAAGTGGACAGAACATGTCTACTGACATAGCCCAGCAATCATACAGGAAAGGTTGGTTTGAGGCATGTGTCTGAGGGAGAGGAGGTGGTGGGGTGCACTGTGGGAGTGGGGAGGGGGTTGTTGGCCTTCGCTCAAACCCCACTTCTGCCTGTCACTTCTCCTCACAAACATATGGAGCCATTAAGCCACAGACAAGGTAAATGTATGTACCTTCTCTTTCACTTTGCCCTCGTCCGCCTGCCTCTCTCTGCAATCTTGTACAGCACTGCACAATGTGATACAGGCCATGGAAATTCAATCCCCATTTAGTGCCAAATAAAATCACACACAGAAGTGGTTTCAAATGGTGCCAGGTTAGATGTACAGGGGAGGTGGACTGTAGTTATTTCCACACCTCCTCTTTTTAGTATTGCTTTCTCTCTGTCTCATTTGCTCTCTGCAGACTGTGACGTAGGATTGGGGGATAATAAATGGCTGGGTGTCTCTTGATGTCATGTGAAACCTGGGAAGGGTCATGTGCCACCTTTTGACTGCCAAGGGGGGGTCTGGTGTTACAAGGTCTGGGTTTTTGGGTACAAACTGTGCACAAGAACCAGACTGCAGCTTGGCGTCACAAAGTAAAGAAATTATGTTAAAAACTTATTTTTTTTCTTCTCTAAAATGTACCTCAACGTTTTCATGTTCAGATTCTGGGTTATAAATGCCACGGTGGAAGAGTGGGGGAGTAGATCAGGTGACGCCATTGCTATATTTCTAGGTTCAAGTGGCCCCATAAAACATAAGTCATAGATCTGCTGAGACCTGACAGATGAAGCTGAAGCCTTTCTTAGGGTCAAATCAAGTCATGAAGAATGGGCGAGAACACTGTTTCCCAACGCACACTACCCTGCATCTTTTCTCTGCTTTAGCAAACCGGATTCAGATGTTTGCAGTTTAGTAAAAGTCGCCTGCTAATCAACCATCAATTGTAATTAGGTGTGTTGAAGCAGGTAAACAACTAAAACATGCAGGGCAATGTGTCCTGAGGACCAGGATTGGGAAACACTCAGCTGGAGGACTCAAAACCTGAAACATGATAATACCTTTTGTTCCACTAGCATTAATTTCAAACTGCTAAATCACTTTGTAGAAAAACAGTAAAAGGGCTTCGACAGTTAGGTTTTCAATGTCTTGCCTAACAATTTTACAACATAACTTTTTCTAACTCAATTTGTATTGTAAGCTGTAAAAAAATTAAAGCCATACTGCAATATATCAGCAAGACGAGCATAGATGTCCTGCTGGGTGAGCTCTTCCCTCTATGTCCACAGATGTATTTTAATTATTTAACTTTTTTTGAAAAACTCTGTTTCTCCTAAGGTCTTGCAAAACCAGAAGACGTTTTTAAGAATTGCTTTAAGCATATTTGGCTCTGGTTTCATCTGTTAATATTGCTATCATTATGCTTGTCACAAGCTTGTGTTGATGCTTAAAAGGCAGAGAAAAGAAAATGTTATCTTCACCAAAAGATTCCATGTTGTCTTTTAAGGAATGTCTTTTTGGTCATGCTGTATCAATTTGAATTCAGGATTTGAGAATAAAATGTTAAATGGCCCTCATTCAGCACTGATAAAGAAACTTTCACCAGATACTCCAGCATATTTAACAAACTGGTGTGTATTTTTTTTTTTAACAATGCCTACTTTGAGAAAAAAAACAGATTAGTACCCCACTCCTCTTTGACTGACATGTCAAAAAGCAACTGAATTTTTTGTTGATTATTTTTGATTACTACCAGGAAGGAAATCACGCTGTCACCCTAGGCAAAGGGCCATGCTCCTCTTATCAGAAACCACAACTGCTGCAGTATTTAAAAAAAATAATAAAATGACAAATTCAAAGAGATCCAACATAAGTTTGAATGCGACAAGTTACAACATAAAAAAGCAAGTTACAACTCATAGGGATGTCTATGAGAAAAAAATAGGCAAGAAATTATGAGCCTATTCTGCAAGACTGCTCGAGGCCAAGCGCCGCCATGTTAGTGAAAATAGACTGAAAAAGTCCAATTGGCATCTATTTGTTCAAAAGATGACTTGGCGCCTTTATGACTGTGCTTGTCCACCATGCAACATCAGGCCGTTGAGCACAGCTAGTGCAGGAGGTGATGACCTTCTTCCATGGTGCCAGAATGACTCTTTCACTATGATAGCACCACAGGGTTAGGGGAGCCATAACAGGCTGCCCCTGTGAGCTGTCTCATAATGATAACATCAGATTAGAGCACCTTATAGTCCACTTCATAGAGAATGAGCACAGCAGCACCCTGTACACCCTGCAGATGGTTGGTGATAACATTGTCTGCCATGTGGAAATAATAAAGTCGTGAAAGAAAAGGCCCTTTGACTAAAAACGTTTTCTGACCCCCTTTGCTATTTCATCATGAACTCATGAATTATGCAGCAAACTTACACATTGTGACCCCTGACCATGATTCCCAAATAGCTCTTGTTATTTGAGCTAAAACATTTTCGGTGTCAAATGTATTGCGAAAAGCAAAGTGGTGAAAGACTCCCCTCAGGCACTTTGTTTTTAGCTGTCATGGCTCCATAGTTCCAAAATAGCTGACTTTCGTTTCATGCAGGCTTGCTATAGTTAATTCATTACCTGCTCTACCACACCTTTTAATGCTCTGTTTTGAACCTGACTAATGATTTGTTCTTTTTTTCTGTTATTTTTTTACAACAAAAATTGTTTTTGTTTACATATATATGCCTCCTCATTATGATCTCACTCTACTAGCACTAGTTGAGGTGAAGACAAATCAATCAGAAGTCATCTGTTGTTATTGTATTTCGAATTAAAACATTAAATGCTGTGTAACAAGTTTACTTTTTAGTATGACTTGCAGGTGTTTAAAATATTTTGACAAGGCATCAATCAACATGTACCTACAATAAAAAGCCTTTTTTTTTCAAAAGACGTGCGGCTTATTTTTTGTTTTTTCTTCATTCAAAAGAAGAAAGGAAAGAATGAGGCATGCCTTTACTTGCAAGGAACACAGTTTCACATGCAAGGTAATTGGTCTTAAAATATTTATAGAGTACCAATCCAACACCTTTTTTACTAATTACTGAATTTTACAATTACATAATTCTGCAAAAGAGTGTTTCTATACTTGGGTGTTTGTAAAGGCAAGTTTATTTCCTGTATTCCTTGGGACTACAATAAACGCCTTAAAAATACTCAAGTTTCCAACATGTCAGCATTCATTTTTTTTCTGCACAGCATTGTTAAGATCAACAGTCACAGGAGACGGTTGGTAAAAAAACAGGTTCAGGCTATGACCCTGAAAACAATATATGCAAAAAACCAAAAATGTGGAAGAAAGTACTGTGGTTGTCCCCATCCTAAATATTGTGGTCACAGATGATGGGAAAACTAACTACAGGAAAATTAAGTAAGAAATTCTCTTAAAGGCTACAGTTGATATGATACTGGAGTGGAGGTCTGTCATCCAGCAGAAACAATCCTACATCTATAACCAGAGCTACAGAGGAATGTTCTGGATCAAAGCATTTGCATGTGTTAGAATGTCCCAAACCTGCATTGTATCAACAATCTTTGAAAATGCTAGAGAACTCAGAGTCATTCAGGCTCTTCATCTTATCTGTGGTTGCTTGAGCTGTTTGGAAAAGAAAAATGGGCAAAACAAATAGTTTCTAGATGTGCAAAACTGGAAGATATACCCCAAAACACTTGAAGCTGAAATTGTGCTTAATTGTGCAAGTATATGCATATGTACCCCACACCTTTTCTTATTTTTAGTTATAAAAATGTTGAAAAACATATATAATTTTCTTTTAGTTCACAATTATGCAATGCCTTGTGTGTGTCTATCAAAAAAAAAAAAAACTAATTAAATGTGATTTATATATATTTTTGCGTTGCATTGCAAATTAGCTATACATTTTCAGATTAAAATTAATTCCTTGGCATAAATATATGAGCAAAAAAAAAAAAAAAAGAAGACTTAATTAACAAGCATACCTGGCTTGTAAGACATTCCAGGAGGGAAGAGAAAGCCTTGCTGGGCGGCAGCTGCTGCTGCTAGAGTGCGTTGGTCGTGTGGAAAGATGGGGATCATGAGCGGAGGCATGTGACCCTGGACCTGCTGAACAGATAGGGAGCAGAGATCAGAGAGGGGCCCCAAGCACAGCCATGGCACACATGGAAACATGGAGCATACTGAGGGGGAGGCTAGATCACAGCTCTTCCTAACATGTGCTGACAAGGGGCTCCGTGGCAACGACGGCGCTCGTGCGCTTGCACAATACCTGGCCGAGCTACGCCTGTTCTTAATCCAGGCCGCAATTTCACCTTAGCACATCAAAGGACCCGAAAAGTCACATTGCTGGAGGAATGAAGAAGGGAGAGCAGCAAAGTACAGTAGTCTTATGAGAGGCGCTACAAAACATGTCTGGGATTACTTCACCACTTCAGAGAAACAGCTACCAGTATAAACACACTTTCCTCTCAATGGAAATTCAAACACTTATAAAATTTCAAATGATCATTCAATAAGAAGGCAAACCAATGGAATAAATCTAGTAAATTATACCAGCTCTCTCTTACATAGAAAGCTCTTCACGGCCAAGGACCAAGCTACATGTCTGACTTCAATCACAGCTACACACCATCAAGAATGCAGGATTCATCTCAGTTCAGCTAAATAAAGATTCCACATAAAATTCATGTTACAAAAAAATGAAAGAAAAAAAAAAAACTTTGGTAAAATTCAGCCTGTTTTGTTCACATTTCTTTTTTATGCAAGCATATTCTTAAGGTATATTTTGAAATTAATTTTTTGTATTTTACAAATACCTGTTGTTGATATTTTCTTTAAAGAATGTATGTACGCGGTACAAGGCTAAGGACTGTTAATTTTTAGGTATGGACCAATATAAATAAATTTGGATGTAAAAAAAAAAAACAGCAGTTGATGTCCTTTAGCTTATTGTGTTTCAAAATCAGCCCAGTTGGAGATAAATGTAATTGAAATATAATAACAAAACAAACCTTCATTTGTGTGTCAAGGATAGTTGAGTAGCTCATTTTCCTAAGTGGTGTGTGTGTGGCCAACATGTTGCGAATCCAATTTTTCTGTCATTTTCAGCTTCCTGAAGCATTGTGACGGGGAGCAGACTGACTACCCCGACTTGCGAGGGTTAATCGAGCAGCGAGCTAGATCACCTCGGGGGAACCAGCCTGGGAAATAGGTTAATAAAGGTCATCCCCCAAAATAAACACTTTACAGAATGTTTCCCCATTCATCCCCCTTAAAATCAACTCGCAATAAAACCGGTCTGGGTGCAATTATTGCCGCTGCATTGGGGCATGAAATCAACCTGTCCCACGTTCTGGCTGAAGTCTGCTATGAACTCCACTTTGTCAGCCTGTGCTGCTTCCCCCCCGTGGACTCTTTCTTGCGGGAGTACTTGCATCCAGTTTATCTCGCAGCTAGCAAGCCAAACCCACTAAAGACAACTTTATTGATTTGTCCAGAGGTGCAAAGCTAGACTGAAAACTAAATAAACACAGGCATTTTATGTCTACTGAGCTTTTGCAAAAGTGCAAGTGCAGAAGTTGTGAGAAAAAAGTGTTAAAAGAGAGCATGCAATACTTCGAAAAAGTAATTCTGCAAAATTTGCTGCCGATGAAGAAAAATAAATGCCTTAAGGAGTCTGTGACAAATATCCTTCGAAAACAATCTTCAAAGGGACTGGTTAGCCAAGTTTCCAAGCTGGACGAATGAAAGATGGAGTTTGGCCTTGCATGTTTGGAACACATGGAAAAACACAATAATTAATGTCACAACACGAGGCGGGGCAGGGCAGGAGGGATTATGAAGTGGGGAGTGGACACTGGGGAACACAGCTCTGCTCTGTCTCTGTTTGAACAGTTTAAACAGCCAGAGCTATACATACACTAGCTAACGGGCATAAAAGTGCTCCCTTGTCTCTATCCTTATAGCCAAAAATGTTACGTGGCAATCCATGACATTTTTAGGAATTTGCTAAAAATCTTTGGCAATAAGTTAAAACACATATTTTATTTATTTTACCTAACTAAACTAAATTAAAAAGATGAAGTAGTCTGGTTTTAATGGATTGACTTTAACTACTTTGGATACTATTAATATGCACATGTGCTCAAAGCTCACAAAACAGCACTAAGGATACACTGTCATGATTACAATTACATGAAAGGTCAAATGTGACCACATAAGCAAACATAACAAACCTCTACAGAAAGCCATACTGCTGTATAGTGAATGATTTCCGCTCAAAGCGTCTGATGCATGGATGGATTTTTCTCCAGCAACACTAAATGATAAACTTTAAGTGAGACAATTTCTTCTGGGATATCAGCTTTTATTACTGTTATTATTTTAAAATATGGAGGCGAATGTACAACATCCGCTGAGGCGAAAACAGAGAAGAGATGTGCGCTGGAGGGGAAATAAATGCATTGACTGTGAATGGCTGTGATTCGCAGTAATGAGCTCTGGGCATTAAAGTTTAATTTACAGCCGCTAATGTCAGAAAAAAAAAAAAGCAAATCAGATTTTTGAGGAATTTCAGGGTGTCAAAAAATACCAGAGGTTACTTGTCAATTAAGAGCTGTCAGAGCAGATTACAATGTTTTCATTAAGCCTTTTTGGGTAATCCTGAGTGCGAAAGAAAAACATATTTTAGAACATAGGGGAAGAAGGAGAAGTACATAGGTGTGTGGCCTCCACTATGTCTCAGTTTCTACAAATCCAACCCTCCCTCGCCTTTAAGAGTTACCCTCAAGTTCATCTTCATGTGGGCTGTGTGCCCAGGACATTTCTATTGCCAAGATGATCTTGAAGAGTTGGAGAGTGAAGTGGAGCAGATGTGAGGGGGCGGTGGGGTGGCACTCGGGCAGCGTCCTCCCTTCTCCTCATAAAATACAGGAGCATTGTTGTGCTGGCACTGCTCTTCCTTTGTCTTAGCACTCCTAAGCACTGGATAATGTCATTTCACACCATCTGCCCCCAGGCTTCATTAAAGATACATGAATGGGCTATCTTATGAGGAACAGGTGCTATTGTTTGTCCCTCAAGACTCAGCACTAAGGATCTGACTCGGAATACTTGAAGAGGAGCATCTGTAGTGATCAGTCAGACAGACTTGGCTGAGGCCCCCGTCTCCGCCAGCACGCTCTCCAACAGAGGTTTCCAGGGGAACTCAGCCGCCTTGCTACATGTATCATCAATTCAGATGACCTGATGAAGTCTGTAGCAGGCCAGCGTGCAATCTGTTTCCCTCTCGAGGAGCTGCTGCTTTTTGATAAATAGAGTCAGCTTAACCATCCAGTTTAAGAGGGAGACTTCACAGTAATCAAATAGGAGATATGTTTTATAAGATGAAAGAAAATCACAAATTGTTCTTTATTTATTGCTTTGTGTACAATTCATTGTCTCCCAGCTTGATTTTTACAAACTGTACATTTATTTTAATGACTCATGACATAAATTGTCTGAAAAATTAAAATGCCCCAAATCTCTTTTCTTCTCCCTTTTAGTCTTTTATATTTATTTGAATAGTAACATTTTTCCCCAAAAATGTAAAACTCCCAAACTTGACAACTCTGAAAACAGTACAAAAACGTGAAATTCAGTTAAAGCCAAATTTCTTTTATTTAGTGAATTTTACTTAAGATAACCACAAGCAAGTCTCTCAAAACATCGAGGCAATTTTCTAATAATAAATAAATAATAAAACACTTCTGTTTTTTTGTAATTTTTAATTTTTTTATTTTATTTTTTTTTTTTTTTCATTTTTCCAGAATCACATTTCCTGATAAAAACATTGACATGGTCTACACTTATTTCCTCTGCTGTATTGCAAAAAAATTACAAATAATTTTGTCTCACTTATATAAGATATTTTGAAATTAAATGTTTAAAGGAAGGAATGTTCATAAAACGAGCTGATATATTTAATTTTTTTATGCATGGTGCACCTTACACCATGAATCCCAGCTACTACTAACACGCTCAGTGCAAATCGAGATGTACAGCGCATTACAGTGCTCACTTGGGACTCTGTCAACACCCATGCTCCTCACTGTCTGTTACAGCCTCTACAAAGAACACAGGAGGGCTTTCCATCGGAACCATTTTGCACTCACATGTACTGATCTGCCCCAAGTTGTCTGTGCAAGGTAGGATAATACGATCAAAGTAAAATCAGTTTTTAGAATGTTTTCCTTCTTATTAACAAGGAGATAAATATTATTGTCCTTGTCAGGAGAATAGTTGTTAGCCTTAGAGATTATATGTTACTTGGTACCTTTTACACACTCCTCAAACAAAATCTGTATGACTTGCATTCATGGGACAAGTTAAGGTCTTTTGAAGGATTTTAGAAAAAAAAAAATTTTTATATTTAGATGATGACAAATTTATTTTCTATTTAAGAGTATTGAAATCTAATTTTAATTTAAAAACAAAACATTTTGACATTTTAGAGGCTGTTAGATCCCTTGTTCCATTTCTTTTTCATATTTTCTGCTGGAGGAGTTAAAAGATTTCACCTAGGGAGGGTAGACTCCAGCTGTTGGTGTAAGAGCTGATGGTTCACACCCGTGCCCTACCCCCACCCCTCGCCCTTTCCTCCCTTGTGCCCCCACAGAGCCGTACACCAATTGAAGGTGAGAAGAAATTACCTTTTGTGAACAATTTAAAACAAAAATGATCTTGAGCTCCATGGCAAGTCTGGCTTCACCCCATTTCTAGCTCACACACCAAAACTGACACTAACAGCGGGATATGTTTAACATTCGCCACTGTGTACAGCCCGCTGAGTGTACACTGAACAGAAGCCTTAACAGGGAAAAAAAAAAAAAATCCACAGTGGAAGCAATTCTGCTGAATACTCTGCCTAAGGATTTTCTTCCCTCCAATCCAACAATCAGCAGTTCTTGCAGCACGCATTGCTGCTTTCCTACTGCTCGCTCATTGCCATACGCTGAACACTCAGATCACACAGCAGACGCATACATTGATCAAATACGCAATGGTGTTTGGATTTGTCTGTAACTAATGGTAATCAGACATACAGATCAATAGATCTGAAGCAGACT